CCGGTCCCTCCCCTCTCCCTCCATGAAGTGTGTCCGGTATTTTTTTTAAGACTACCTGGTAACCCTATAATGTCTCCAAAAAAAAGCGGCTTTGCGTTTTAATTTAATCGCATGATATGCTCTTATTGCTGTACTATGCAATAAACACCTCCTCCCCCCCCCATGAAGTGTGTCCGGTATTTTTTTTAAGACTACCTGGTAACCCTATAATGTCTCCAAAAAAAAGCGGCTTTGCGTTTTAATTTAATCGCATGATATGCTCTTATTGCTGTACTATGCAATAAACACCGAATTGCACACGTAAAAAAACCAACTAAGAAGTACAATGTCCCATACTTAAGTTTGTATTTTTTAAGTAAAGTTTAGTTGTTAGTTTAAAAAAAAATTAAGTTTATAAGTTTTAGTTTCTTTGGTTTGTTTGATGAATAAAAATAATGTCCTTTATGATCGAGTATTCAATAAATGTTCACCTTTAAAAAAAGAAAGAAATAAAATTCCCTGGGTGCACACCCTAATGAAATGTGCTGCACACACCTATGAAAGCAATGGGCTTCAACTGCAGCAAGGGAGGTTTAGGTTGGACATTAGGAAAAAGTTCCTACCTGTCAGGGTGGTTAAACACTGAATTAGTTGCAAAGGGAGTTTGTGGAATCCCCATCACTGGGGATATTTAAGAGGAAGTTAGATAGACATCTCTCAGGGATGGTGCTTGGTCCTGCCATGAGGGCAGGAGACTGGACTCGATGACCTCTCGAGGTCCCTTCCCGTTCTAGTGTTGTATGATTCTTCCCTTAGGACCATGTCCCGTTCTCAGCTCCCACCTCCAGGCCCCATCCCTGCTCCCCCTTTCCCCCAAAGAAAGATGAGCATCACGGCTATCACATGGCACCTGGACACACAAACTGAAATCCGGACTGTCTGGGGAAACTTGGATGGGTGGCATCGCTGACAGAGACCCCCGGGAGCGCGGGGTAAGTTGTTCCCAGGGTTAATTCCCCTCCCTGTTAGAAATTTCCACCTTGTGTCCAGTCTGAATTTGTCCATCTGGAACAGAGGCATGGGTGGGGGGCACACAGCTGGACACCGGGTTCCACGGGCAGCCACCCCCTGCAAATGAGGGCTCGGCTCTGCCCCAAATGAGACCAGCCCATCAAACTGGCCCCTTCTGGCCTCCACAATGTGTCTCGTGTCCCCTCGCTGTCCCACACGAGATGCCTGACCAAGCAGCCGGCGCTAGCAGCAAGCAGGGGGTGCTGGCTGGGAGCTGTGGGGGGAGGCGGCAGGTGGCCAGCAGCTGGAGGCTCTAGGTCGGCGTCCAGATCCACTCTCTGGGTGGGGCGCTGGAGCTGGATAACGGAGTACTGGACCTCGTCCGGGTCGTCCTAGGGGGAAGAGTAATAATGACGATCCCGGCTCTGATGGCAGGTATGCCACAGCAGAGCTCAAGGCCTGCTGCATGGCTGGGGAAAGTGAGGCATCAGGCTGGACGTGACCTAGCCAAGGGCACCCAGCAGGCCAGTGGAAAAGCCAGGGTGAGAACCCAGGCATCCTTGCATTCCCAGCCAATGAGCTAACCACTAGGCTTTGCTGTAGGTGTAGGATAACTCCTCCCTCCCACCAGTTATAACCTTGATAGTCGCTGCAGCCTCCGGCATTCTGGTATTGACACAAGACAAACCGTCTAAGGGGGCCCCTTAGGGTAACAGCCCTACCACTGCTGCTGGCTCATGGAACGACTGCTTTAGCTCCTCTCTGGGGATAATAGCTCCGCTACTCCTGCCACCTAATGGAGCAACTCCGTCAGCTCAACCCAGTGCTGTACTCAGTGGATCGGAGCTGGTGCCCCCTGGGGGGGAAAGGCCCCATGTTCCAGTCTCAGCCAGGGGACCGCAAACCCCAGATACATCCCACTGCCCCACGCAGTATCTGGGGCAGCCCTCCCTCCCAGGCGCTCTCCTCTCCCAGCCCTGCCCTGACCTGGGTGGGCCTGATCCTGCTGCCACTGGGAGCTGACTTCACATGGGACAGAGCAAGAATAGAACACAGGGAGCCTGGCTTCCCCATGGGAATGACTGCTTTAGCTCCTCTCTGGGGATAATAGCTCCGCTACTCCTGCCACCTAATGGAGCAACTCCGTCAGCTCAACCCAGTGCTGTACTCAGTGGATCGGAGCTGGTGCCCCCTGGGGGGGAAAGGCCCCATGTTCCAGTCTCAGCCAGGGGACCGCAAAGCCCAGATACATCCCACTGCCCCACGCAGTATCTGGGGCAGCCCTCCCTCCCAGGCGCTCTCCTCTCCCAGCCCTGCCCTGACCTGGGTCGGCCTGATCCTGCTGCCACTGGGAGCTGACTTCACATGGGACAGAGCCAGAATAGAACACAGGGAGCCTGGCTTCCACATGCCACCTGCTCTACCCACTAGACCCCACTCCCCTCCCACAGCTGGGAATCCTGATCTCCCAGCCCCCCCACCCACTAGACCCCACTGCCCTCCCGGAACCAGGGACAGAACCCAGGAGCCCTGAGCTCCCCCCCCCACTAGACTCCACTGCCCTCCTGGAACCAGGGACAGAACCCAGGAGCCCTGCGCTCCCCCCCTCCACCCACTAGACCCCACTGCCCTCCTGGAACCAGGGACAGAACCCAGTACATAGAGGAACCAGCTGCTCACTTGGGGTACTGTGCCCAGGACCCTCGGCTGGCTGTAGATGTGGGATGGCTCCGTGTCGCTGGGGGAGCCCAGGCACACCTTGGCGGGCACACTGCCACAGGAGAGAGAATGTCAGGGGGTGGAGGAAGGGGAGGGGAACGGGGCATTTGAGCTGCCGGGTCGGGTTGGCTGCAGCACCATGGCCGTGGGTTGGACAGGCTGCATCGGCCAGTGGCGTACAACCCCCGTGGGGCAGAAGCAGCCCAGACCAGATGCTAGTCCTGGACTTGGGGAGTGGGGCCTTTCCCCTCCAGGGGGCACTGGCTGGCCGGGGGCACAGAGCCTTTCTCGTCCACAGAAGTGTCCCCCAAGCGGTGTGGGGCCCCCCAGGAGGGTAGGAAAGAGCTTTCGGGGTGGCATGGCAGGGCTGAGGCCAGCCCTGTTGGGGAAGGGGGGGGGGGGTTACCCAGCCCCAGCTCCTGATGGTGCCTCTGACCTGGGGAAGGGGGGAGAGGGCAGATTCCACTGTGGGTAAGGGAGGGAGCAACAGAAGTTTGGGGACCTGCCCCACCCCCTGCACAGGAGCTCAGAGCCAGGCTCTGCTGTTACCTGGGGGGCCCGGGTGGGGCCAGGCTGGCTGGCTTCCCCATGCCGTGGGACTGGGTGTTCTCATAGATGCATTCAGCTAGGGGGATCTCCCCTGGGCCAGACTGGAGCTGCAAGGCAGGCAGAAGGGAGGTCACTAGCCACTGGTCTTCACTGCTCCGTGATTTTTAATAACAAAAGAAAATGCACCGAGCCCCCTCCCCCACAGAAACTCCCCAGGTGACTGGAAAGACCTTCTGTCCCGCTGGGGGAGGGGGCTCGGTGCTCATGCCGAGTTCTGTGCGGTGCTGCCTCAGTGTTTAAAAGCGGCAGCGCCGCACAGAGCTGACCCCGGGCTCCATGCGGCGCTGCCCCTTTGAAATGCCGAGCGGAGCCTGGGATCAGCTGGGGACTCCAGGTTCTGCCAGAAATGCTGTGTGGAACCCGGGATCAGCTCGGGACTCCCCAGCTGATCCCAGACTCCAGCGCAGCATTTCAAATTGTGCACCGCTGACCCCGAGCGCTGCGTGGCATTTCAAAGAGGCAGTGCAGCATGGAGCCCGGGATCAACAGGGGGCTCTGAGTCCCCACTGACCCCAGGCTCCATGAGGGTGGGCTCTTGTGCATTTCAAAAGGTAAGTGCCCTCGTGGAGCCCGGAGCCAGCGGGACTTCCTTCTGGCGCAGAATTCCACATTCCTCCTTTGAAATGAACAAGATTTTCAAGGGCCTGTAGGGGCCCTTGTACATTTCAAAGGAGGAATGCGGAAGTGCCTATCGACTAGTCGATGGAAATTCCATTGACTAATCGACTAGTCAATTACTCATTAGTTAACACCCTTAGATAGAACCCAGGTGTCCTGGCTGCCAGTCCCACCTCTCTACCCCGGCTGGCCCCCTCACCGCTCCCACAGCCAGCTCTTGAACACAGACATCCGGGCTCAAAGCCCCTCTGCTCTCACCACTAGACCCCACTCCTCTGCCAAAGCTGGGGGAGAACCAGACATCCTGGCTCCTGGCTGCTCTCACCACTAGACCCCACTCCTCTGCCAGAGCTGGGGGAGAACCAGGCATCCTGGCTCCTGGCCACACAGATGCACTTACCAGATTGCTGTGCGCTCCCTTGTGCTTGCTCCGTTTCTTACTGCGAATAAAGGACAGAGACAAAACAGCAGCCGCGTTGGCTCAGGAAGGGGGCAAAGGCTCCCACAAATCTACGCTTTCATGACCAGAACAGCTGGTTCACCGGCCCTTCCCAGGTCCTTGTGGGTGTCAGGAGTGTGTGGGACCCAGCCACCACCACTCAATCACCCCTCCCCCCCTGGGGTTCATTGCATCCTACTTCAAAAGGATGCAACGTCTTGATGGCATGACGCATTATGCAAATGTATGCAGATCTATGCAAATGAAGAGCCTCTGGTTATTTCTAGAGGGGAGGCATGTCTAGCCTCCAGGCACTGGGTCACATCCTTTGTCTGTTCTCTGACAAACATCCTGATAAGGTCGTGTGCCCACAATGCAAGTGCCAACACAAACACCATGGGCGGTGGGTGAAGGCCCAGCCGGGGAAGTCAAGTCAAAGGCCCCTCCCCGCTGACCAAGGCCCCGCCCCTTCCACCTGAGTCCCCGCCCCTTCCACAACCTCCTCTCCTTGTGGAGTCAAGCCAGGCCCCCGCCCCAGGTTACTGCCCCCAGTCCCGGTGAGTGGTAGGGCCCCACCCTTCCCAGGTCGCCAGAGAGCCTGGGGCAGCCAGGCAGTGGCCCCAGCCCTCTGGGGAAGCTGGGGAGCCAGGCTGCCATGTTGTGGCCCCAGCCCTTTTAGGTGGCTGGTGGACAGTAGAGGCAGTTTTGGGAAGGCAATGCCTTCTCTTGCCTCCATTACCCACTGCCCGTGACAAACACACAGCCTCTTCTACAGGCCTGGCTCTCCGGGGGGGGGTGAAGATCATGGGAACATCAGGTGCACCATGAGAGAGGTGGTCTGGTCCCAGACCTCAGCCCATAGAGATGAATGAGATCGAGGAAACAAACTACAACTCCCAAGATGCACCACTTTCTCTCCCTCTTAGGAAAAGTAGACCTCATTGTCCTACCTGGTTGCAATGCATCAAGGGAGATGTAGTCCACCCCAGAGCCCACCCCATAGAGATGAATGGGAATCTGAGGCAACAAACTACATCTCCCACGAGGCATCACAGGCTCATTTTTCATGCAATGAAAATGTAAGACAGATACTTTCAGTGAAAACCGTAAGGCCCATAAGACACTATGACACCTTCCAGTCTGCACTGACTCCACAATTCTCAAGCCTACACTGTGTGGGGTTCTCTAGCAAAGGCAAGGGGGGAAGCTGGGGACCGCCAGACAATCAGAGATGCGGGTAGTACCAGTTTGATGAAGTGAGTGGAAATACCTCCAAACTATGATGCTGACCAGCCCCATCAGCAGCAATAGGGCAGCTGCAGCTGTAGGTCCTATGATGTATATGTGTTCCCAGATACAAAAAAGGACTGAAAAGCAGAAAAGAGGGTTATTGGAGCAACCCTGCCGCAGATTTTTGAATCCCTCCTGTTCATGGATGGCAGGAGCCAAAGGAGAATCACCCTCACGTGGGAGCGGTAGAGGGTCTAGGACACACAGATACGCTGTTTTGATTTTGTCCACTAGGGAACAAAGCTGACATGCACATGCACACACAGACACACACACAGTGGTAACCCAAACGCACTCGCCAATTTGTTACATCCCTGTTAGATTTTGGCCTCTGTCCGAATACCAGCAACATGCTCTCCACAGAAGCTGTTTCTGGAATCTGTTCTTTATCTAACTGTATTGTTCTCTGTGTCCAGCAGCCTCCCTCCCTCTGAACCCCCCAAGCTGGGGTGGCTTTCCTGGGGGACAGACGCAGCTATTTCTGGGCAGAGCAGAGCTGCCCAGCAATGGCTCACTCCGCACTGAGGTGCGTCTGCCTCTGGGGAAAGGCAGTAAGGTACCAGCCATACAGGAAAGGCTCAGCCAGGACTGAGATGCAGCCAGCTCTCGGGTGGGGTGGGGCAGGACAGCACAGGACACCAAATGCTGGTGGCTCACTGCAATCCTCAGATCCAGCCAATTCTGGGGTGGGGCTGTAAGGTGGAGGAAGACCTAACACAACAGTGGTGAGAAAGCGAATTGAGAGCAAAATTCAAGGGCACAGGGTGAGGGCCTGGGAGCTGCAGAATGGGATTGCATCTTCCCCACACTGCATCAGCCTCAACTGTTTCTCAGGAGCAAAGTGGATTGGGCAGGATTTGAACCTGTGACTTTAGAGACCAAACCTGATGGTGTGAAATCCTGCCTTCCATCAGCCCTGGGTCAGCCTTGGGGGGTGGGGTCAGACACTTACTCCAGATGACGACAGCAGGTGAGTGACCTACCCATGACGCTGATAGTGACAGGGGCTGAGTGAGCTGTCCCCCCCTGGTTCTGAACCTCACAGCGATATTTCCCAGTGTGGCTTCCTGTGACTCTCTCATACGCCAGCACCGGCTGGGACTCATTCAGCCGGACATTGTCCCTGTACCAGGTGACGTTGGTGAGGAGGCTGCTGTTGAAATGGCAGGTTAAATTCACTGCCTCCCCTGCACACAGGCCAGTCTTGGGTGTAGCCATGACGTTCACATCTTTAGGGGCACCTGGAAACAGAGGGAGGAAAATGATCCATGAAAGGAAGAGAGAAAAACTGGACCCGCACTCTTCGACAGTGGTGTGCCCTGGGGGGTGTCATGTTAAACAGGCGGTGAGACCTCTGGGGCACTCCTGGTGTCGTATGGTTTAGGAAGCAACCAGAACAGACGTACGTGTGTGTGACTCAGTGTGGCCTGTTGCGTGCAGTTAACTAACCCATTGTTTGAACCCTGCCGGGTTGATCATTGTGTGAGAGGCAAAAGGCAAAAGTGGAAGTGGTTGGGAACTGGGGTTTCCTGAGGAACAGTTTATCTGTGGGGCAAAATTGTGAAAAGCCAAAATATTTCATTGCAGAATGTCACTGGTGCATGATGGGAGATGCACTTTGCTTGCCGCCTCGTTCATCATGGACTTTTGTGAACCAGGCTCCCTGGCCAGGCTAGTTCCGCTGCCTCTTGTCCTTCTCCATATAGCCCGTGCTGCCCAGCTGGATTGCATGTGCCAAGATGAACTACTGTCTCCCCTCTTGGGTGACAGGAAGGGAGCCTCATAGGGAGCGTGCATCTTGGCAGATGTAGTTCCAGATCCTTGTGTCCTCATTCTGCACTATAGGCCAAGGTGTCTGTCTGGACTACGTCTCTCACAACGCACCATCTGCTCTCCTCTCGGTGAGGGGAGGGGTGTGTCCCTGGCTGTGGTGCATCCTGGGAGTTGCAGTTCCAGTGCTTCAAGTCCTCATTCTACTCGATGGGCTGGGCTCCCCAACTGAACTACATTTCCCGTGACGCACCAACAGCTCTCCTCTTTGCAGGAGAGGGCATCATAGGATTGCTAAACCAAGGTGCATCATGGGAGATATCATCCAGTTTGAGATCCTGGCCCACAGAAGAGAATAGGAGCAGGAGGTGCTAGAGCTTCCAGGAGGCCATCTTCAATTGAAATATTTCATTCTTTGATGTTTCTATGTAAAGTAGAACTTTCCCTTTGGGATAAAATCATAGAACACGAGAGGCCATCAAGTCCAGTCCCCTGCCCTCACGGCAGGACCAAGCACTGTCTAAATCATCCCTGATAGATGTCTGTCTAACCTGCTCTTAAATATCTCCAGAGATGGAGACTCCACAACCCCCGCTGGGCAATTTATTCCAGTGTTTAAACACCCTGACAGGTAGGAACATTTTCCTAATGTCCAACCTAAACCTCCCTTGCTGCAGTTTAAGCCCATTGCTTCTTGTCCTATCCTCAGAGACCAAGGAGAACAATTTCCCCCACTCCTCCCTGTGACACCCTTTTAGATACTTGAAAATTGCTATCGTGTTCCCCCTCAGTCTTCTCTTTCCTAAACTAAACAAGCCCAATTCCTTCAGCCTTCTCTCAAAGCTCATGTTCTCTAGAACTTTCATCATTCTTGTTGCTCTTCTCTGAACCTTCTCCAATTTCTCCACATCTTTCTTGAAATGTGGTGTCCAGAGCTAGACACAACGCTCCATTTGAAGCCTAATAAGTGCAGAGTAGAGCGGAAGAATGACTTCTCGTGTCTTGCACACAATACAGCCCAGAATCATGTTTGGTTTTTTTGCACCAATGTCAAACTGTCGGCTCATATTTAGCTTGTGGTCCTCTATGACCCCTAATTCCCTTTCTGCAGGACTCCTTCCTAGACAGTCGCTTCCCATTCTATATGTGTGAGACTGATTGTTCCTTGCTAAGTGGAGCACTTTGCATTTGTCCTTATTAAACTTCATCCTATTGACCTGACCATTTCTCCAGTTTGTCCAGATCATTTTGAATTATGACCCTCTCCTCCAAAGCAGTTGTCATCCCTCCCAGCTTGGTGTCATCTGAAAACTTAATAAGCATCCTCTCTATGCCATCATCTAAATTGCCAATAAAAATATTGAACAGAAACGGTCCCTAAACAGACCCCTGCAGACCCGCTCTTGTTATGAACATAAGAACATAAGAACAGCCGTACTGGGTGAGACCAAAGGTCCATCTAGCCCAGTATCCTGTCTGCCGACAGTGGCCAGCACCAGGTGCCCCAGAGAGGGCGGACCGAAGACAATGATCAAGCGATTTGTCTCCTGCCATCCCTCTGCAACCTCTGACAGACAGAGGCCGAGGACACCATTTCTATCCCCTGGCTAATAGCCTTTTGTGGACCTAACCTCCATGAAATTATCTAGCTTCTCTTTAAACTCTGTTATAGTCCTAGCCTTCACAGCCTCCTCTGGCAAGGAGTTCCACAGGTTGACTACACGCTGTGTGAAGAAGAACTTTCTTTTATTTGTTTAAAATCTGCTCCCCATTAATTTCATTTGGTGTCCTCTAGTTCTTCTATTTAGGGAACTAATAAATAACTTTTCTTTATCGGCCCTCTCCATACCACTCATGATTTTATAGACCTCTATCATATCCCCCCTCAGTCTCCTCTTTTCTAAACTGAAAAGTCCCAGTCGCTTTAACCTCTCCCCATATGGGACCCGTTCCAAACCCCTAATCATTTTAGTTGCCCTTTTCTGAACCCTTTCCAAGGCCAAAATATATTTTTTGAGGTGAGAAGACCACATCTGTACAGAGTATTCAAGATGTGGGCGTACCATAGTTTTATACAGGGGCAGTAAGATATTCTGGGTCTTATTTTCTATCCCTTTCCTAATAATGCCCTTCCAGAATGAATGTGACCCATGGCTAACTACTCTCAGAGAACTGTTATCCAGCCAGTTATACACCCACTTTATCAAGTTGACCCATCAAGGTTGTATTTGCCTAGTTTATTGATAAAAAGGTCATTTCCTGGCCAGTTCTATGAGAAACTTTGTTTGTTTGTTTTTAATGAAAACCAAGTTCTCACAAAATCTCATGATTCCAGGTATGTTGTAAGAGTCCTTCAGTGAGGTGCATCATGGGATTTGCTGTTCCTGTGCCTCACTTTCTCAGACTCTTCTTTGTTGTCCAGGATGTCTGGTTGAACTATATCTCCTACGATGCACCACCTGCTCCTTTCTTGTGAGGGGATGGGAACATTGTAGGACTCATTGGCCATGGTGCATCATGGGACATGTAGTCCAATGCCTGCCTTTTTGATTCAAGGACTACAGTGGTCGCCAACCATTTGGGGCTGCCGGGCGCCCAGGGGCAGGGCCACTCTTGCATCACGCGCCTGAGGGTGGGGCCGCTCATGCGCCGCGTGGCCGGAAGCGGGACCATGCATGGACTACGCACCCGGGGCAGGGGCTGTGCATGCGTGTGGTGTTTTAGATGCTGCCTGTAATTATTAGAACGGGGAGCACTGGCTGTTGGGAATCGGGAAGCCCAGGAAACAGGAAGGAGGCGGGAGGAGATGGGCCAGGCCTGAGTGAGAGCTACAGAGGGGAGCAGCAGCAGCTTTGTAAAGAGGTTTCACCGTTGTTAAATAAAGGCCTGTTGAAGTTTGTTAGTACCTTGTTTGCATAATACAACAATGCGCCACACGCCCAGGGCACAAGAACGGCTTCGGCTTGGGCCAGCCCTGGTCACTTGGTGGGCGCATATAAATGCCCCGGCGGGTGCCATGGCACCCACAGGCACCGCGTTGGGGACCATTGGACTAGAGGATTCACAGCCAATCTCCCTTTGTCAAAGGCAGAGGGGAATATGGAAGGATGAGCCATAGGGTATGTCTACACTAGTCCTCTAGTTTGAACTAGGGAGGCTAAAGTAGGCATTCGAAGTTGCAAATGAAGCCCAGAATTTAAATATCCCAGGCTTTATTTGGATCTTCCCGTCCAGGCGCCATTTTTAAATCCCCTTAGTCCGAGCTAACTGCCCGCAGTTACACGCGGCAGTCCAACGTTAATGTGAACTAAGCCCTTAGTTCGAATTAACTGTTACAACCAGTATAACAGGACCAGCTGTATCATAGGCCCCAGACTCCCCTGAATTCATTCCAATATTGGAAGTGGAAAAGGTTCAGAAAAGGGCAATAAAAATTATTAGGGTCTGAAACAGCTGCCATATAAGGACAGAGTAATAAGACGGGGACTTTTCAGCTTGGAAAAGAGGCAACTACAGGGGCAAACGACAGACGTCTATTCAATCATGGCGGGTGTGGAGAAAGTGAATAAAGAGGAGTTATTTACTCCTTACTCCTTCCCATAACACAGGAAACAGGGGCCACCACATGGACTGAACAGGCAGCAGGTTTAAAACAAACGAAGGAAGCATTTCTTCACACAAGACATAGTGAACTTGCGGAACTCCCTGCAAGAGGATGCTGTGATGACAAGGACTGTAACAGGGTTCAAAAAAGAGCTAGAAAAATTATTGGAGGACTGGTCCATCAATGGCTGTTAGTCAAGATGGGCAGGGAGGGTGTCCCTAGCTTGTCTGTCAGGGGCCGGGAATGGGCGATAGGAATGATTCCCTGTTGTGTTCCCTCCCTCTGGGGCACCAGGCATTGGCCCCTGTCAGAGGACAGGACACTGGGCCAGAAGGACCTTTGCTTTGACCTAGTCTGGCCCTCGTCTGTTCAGGACAGAGACTCTGCACCACACCCTGAGATCACTTGTTTCAATGGTAAAGTCCCCTCCCTGGTCAACTTTTGCACCTTATTGCCAGTGAGAACTTGTCTAGCTTCCCCTCCAGCCCCTGATGCTGTTTCTGCTGGGGTGCCGGGCCCTGCTGGCCACCACAGCGTGCTGGGGGCTTCTTGGAGCCCTCGTGATCCCCATGGTGACCCTCGTGCACTGGGCCTGCTGCACAAGGGCCCAGCCCCAGCCCTCCCCCACCCGCAGATCTACTCCCAGGCCCCCCGGCACTTACACTGCACGGTGATGGTGATGGGGGGGGACGGGGACGGAGACTGGCCGATCGCGTTGGTGACCTGGCACCGATATTCCCCAGCTTGCTCTGCTGTGATGTTCTCCAGCACCAATTCCTGCCGGGATACGTTCAGGCTCTGGCTGCCCCGGTACCAGGCGTAGGAGGTGGGGGCGGGGAGGCTGCTGCTGTGATTGCACCTTAGTGTCACCGAGTCTCCTTCCCGCAGACGGGTGCCCGGCGCGGCCGTAACACGGACCCCTTGGGGGAGACAGAGACACGGGTGTGAATGGGGAGAGACAGAGTGGGGGGACCGGGCCCAGAGGGGGGAGGGATCCAGGGAAGGGGGTGAGGGGCAGGGCCTGGCCCCGGTGGATCTAGGGGGCCAGAGCAGGCAGGGCAGCATGGGGCTAAGAGACAGGGGGCACCCAAGGAATTCTGGGAGCTCACGTAAGTGGGGGAGAGACAGTCACTGGCCCATTAGGGTCTGGGGGAGGTGAGCAGGAGACGGGGCCTGGCCCATACAGGACTGAGGCTCTGGGCAGGGGAGTGGGGCAGAGGCTCCCAGAGAAGTGTCTGGGGCACAAGGCCGGTGTAGGGGCCAGGCTCTGGGAAGAGCTGGGGGGACCCGTGGCTGCTCCAGGGCTGCGTAGGAGAATCGGGGCTGACGAGGGGGGTGGGGTGAAGCAGGGAGGACCCGGGGCCGCTCCAGGGCCACGTGGGAGCATTGGGGCCACAGGGAGGGGGGAGGCTCTCGCCAGCCCTGGCTGCTTACACTGAACTTCAATCGACTCCCTCGCCGAGAGGCTCAGCTGCCCCCAGCCGGGGCCGGAGACCCAGACCCCGCTTGTTTGCATAATACAACAAGGCGCCCCACGCCCAGGGCACAAGAACGGCTTCGGCTTGGGCCAGCCCTGGTCACTTGGTGGGCGCATATAAATGCCCCGGCGGGTGCCATGGCACCCACAGGCACCGCGTTGGGGACCATTGGACTAGAGGATTCACAGCCAATCTCCCTTTGTCAAAGGCAGAGGGGAATATGGAAGGATGAGCCATAGGGTATGTCTACACTAGTCCTCTAGTTTGAACTAGGGAGGCTAAAGTAGGCATTCGAAGTTGCAAATGAAGCCCAGAATTTAAATATCCCAGGCTTTATTTGGATCTTCCCGTCCAGGCGCCATTTTTAAATCCCCTTAGTCCGAGCTAACTGCCTGCGGCTACACGCGGAAGTCAAATATTAACTCGAACTAAGTCCTTAGGACCAGTATAACAGGACCAGCTGTATCATAGGCCCCAGACTCCCCTGAATTCATTCCAATATTGGAAGTGGAAAAGGTTCAGAAAAGGGCAATAAAAATTATTAGGGTCTGAAACAGCTGCCATATAAGGACAGAGTAATAAGACGGGGACTTTTCAGCTTGGAAAAGAGGCAACTACAGGGGCGAACGACAGCCGTCTATTCAATCATGGCGGGTGTGGAGAAAGTGAATAAAGAGGAGTTATTTACTCCTTACTCCTTCCCATAACACAAGAACCAGGGGCCACCACATGGACTGAACAGGCAGCAGGTTTAAAACAAACGAAGGAAGCATTTCTTCACACAAGACATAGTGAACTTGCGGAACTCCCTGCAAGAGGATGCTGTGATGACAAGGACTGTAACAGGGTTCAAAAAAGAGCTAGAAAAATTATTGGAGGACTGGTCCATCAATGGCTGTTAGTCAAGATGGGCAGGGAGGGTGTCCCTAGCTTGTCTGTCAGGGGCCGGGAATGGGCGATAGGAATGATTCCCTGTTGTGTTCCCTCCCTCTGGGGCACCAGGCATTGGCCCCTGTCAGAGGACAGGACACTGGGCCAGAAGGACCTTTGCTTTGACCTAGTCTGGCCCTCGTCTGTTCAGGACAGAGACTCTGCACCACACCCTGAGATCACTTGTTTCAATGGTAAAGTCCCCTCCCTGGTCAACTTTTGCACCTTATTGCCAGTGAGAACTTGTCTAGCTTCCCCGCCAGCCCCTGATGCTGTTTCTGCTGGGGTGCCGGGCCCTGCTGGCCACCACAGCGTGCTGGGGGCTTCTTGGAGCCCTCGTGATCCCCATGGTGACCCTCGTGCACTGGGCCTGCTGCACAAGGGCCCAGCCCCAGCCCTCCCCCACCCGCAGATCTACTCCCAGGCCCCCCGGCACTTACACTGCACGGTGATGGTGATGGGGGGGGACTGGGACGGGGACTGGCCGATCCCGTTGGTGACCTGGCACCGATATTCCCCAGCTTGCTCTGCTGTGATGTTCTCCAGCACCAATTCCTGCCGGGGTTCCTCCAGCCTCTGGCTGCCCCAGGTCCAGGCATAGGAGGTGGGGGCAGGGAGGCTGCTGCTGTAATTGCACCTTAGTGTCACCGACTCCCCTTCCCGCAGGCTGGTGCCCGGCGCGGCCGTAACACGGACCCCTTGGGGGGCGTCTGGGGGAGACAGAGACACGGGTGTGAATGGGGAGAGACAGAGTGGGGGGACCGGGCCCAGAGGGGGGAGGGATCCAGGGAAGGGGGTGAGGGGCAGGGCCTGGCCCCGGTGGATCTAGGGGGTCGGCAGTATGTGCACCAGAGACTTTAAAGCCAGTAGTTTGTGACATCTCTGCTAAGAGTCTGCATCAGGAACTTGCTGATTGGTGCATGTGATGTATTCTCCTTAACTTTACTCTCAACCTTTTCTTTCTTTTGCTAATAAACCTTTAGATTGTAGATTCTAAAGGATCGGCCCAGTGTGATTCTGTGGGTGGGGAGAGAAAGAGTGGGGGGACCGGGCCCAGAGGGAGGAGGGATCCAGGGAAGGGGGCGAAGGGCAGGGCTTGGTCCTGGTGGGTCTCAGGGTCCAGAGCAGGCAGGGCAGCATGGGGCTAAGAGACAGGGGGCACCCAAATAAGTCTGGGAGCTCACGTAAGTGGGGGAGAGACAGTCCCTGGCCCATTAGGGTCTGGGGGAGGTGAGCAGGAGACGGGGCCTGGCCCATACAGGACTGAGGCTCTGGGCAGGGGAGTGGGGCAGAGGCTCCCAGAGAAGTGTCTGGGGCACAAGGCCGGTGTAGGGGCCAGGCTCTGGGAAGAGCTGGGGGGACCCGTGGCTGCTCCAGGGCTGCGTAGGAGAATCGGGGCTGACGAGGGGGGTGGGGTGAAGCAGGGAGGACCTGGGGCCGCTCCAGGGCCACGTGGGAGCATTGGGGCTGCAGAGGGAGGGGGGAGGCTCTCGCCAGCCCTGGCTGCTTACGCTGAACTTCAATCGACTCCCTCGCCGAGAGGCTCAGCTGCCCCCAGCCGGGGCCGGAGACCCAGACCCCGCACGCGTAGCTCCCTCCGTCGGACACGGCTGCCTGGGCCACCCGCAATTCCTGCCCGGCCCCCGGCCGCCACACGGCCCCGCGGGACCCGACGTACCGGGCAC